AATAACAGTACCAAAAAGAGTAAAAAACATGGCGATATGTCATGCAACACGGCATATATTTATGATAGTAACATGCAAGTAGCCTTGTGCAAAATTTTTTCCAGCTGTTTAGGCCAAACAAATTTGGCTCTTATAACATACTTTCCAAAAAATTAAGTAAGTAGGTAGAGGTAGGGATTTTTTATTTATTTTTCTGTATATATTTTTTTGGTTATACGAGTGTCATAAATGCTTTTTATTTTAAAGTTGTTACATTACTCAGTGTTGCAAATTCATTTAAAGTCTGGCACAATTTTCTCAAAAAGTTCAGGGTCACTTGTAAAAATAGGGTATGTTGGGTTATAGGAATGACACAATTTCTTACTCTTGGCCTTACATGCAAGTAGAATGAACATTTTCCTCCATGCATGCACCACTGATTTTATTTTGTATGGTCTGTATAGATTTACAAATGCAACAAAAATTATAGAAAATCCAATTCCAACTGAGCATGCATGATGTACATGTATGAAATATATTCAGGGGGAAAACTTTCAATAGAACATTTCCTGTACACTGCGAGATCCCATGTTACGTGTGAAAATGAACATCAAATCATTGCATGGGATTCGACAAAATCGAAAGTATTTTGGGGGATATTTTCACATTTAATAATGTGCTGTACACATTTGATGATGGTCAATTTTGATGAAGTAAAGGTATCTCAATGCAATATTTCCCTGTTAAAGATCACTCTTTTGACTTTTGAAAAAATTGAGTTCAAAATCAAATTGTTTGATTTTTGCGGCAGAGGTCACCAAGTAAAATTTTTGTTATTCTCGTTATCTTAATGGCATAATCTTGAATTTGCAATTTGGCTTAAACCTCCTTAAGAAGCAAGAGATTGACAACCTACCTTCAAATACAGGGTACAGGTTTTCTTTGACACCTTTCTGAGTAAATACTTTCAAATATGCAACCTACAAATATAAGAATTAAAAAATAGACTCAGAAAGAACTGTGTTTATGTTATTTCACCTTTCACAATAACAATTTCTTCCGCACTAAACACCAGACACCCTGAAGAATGGGTGCATTATGTGTGAAA